CAAAATTCTCACCTAGGCTGGGCCTCAGCGTAATCCTATTGAGCATGATTTTTAAGTCATCACCTCTCTTCAGGACAATATAAGGTTCTCATCATTGACCCAACCTAGGACACCCCCCTCCCCATGGATACATCCAGTGGGACCCAGATGTGCTCACCACAGCTCAGTGCTGGACACCAGGACGCTGGGAAGGGCCTGAGCTTCAGCGCACCAAGGGCTGGGCACCTGGCTGACGACCAGTCGTCCAAGACCAGTGGGCCCAGTGAAAGATTTCCTTGGTCTCACCATCTAGGGGACAAAAGGTGGACATGTGTCAAAATGGAACCTCATGCCTCTATGCCAGGAAGTGGGGGGGAGGTGCTGCTGACACCTGCTATCCCGCCGTGGACCCATGTGATGGGATCCATGTGAAATGCTGACATGTCATGGAAATGGGGGATCCTTGGCCCTTCCCACCATCAAACCCTGGAAGGACAGGGCAGGTGCGTCACTGGGGTTGTGCAAGATGCCCTGGCTGCGCCCTATTGTCGTCACCTAAGCACCTCCACTGACCACAACAGCAGCCTCACACAACTCAATGGTTGTACCGCTCTCCTGGGTGTGGACAAGGCTGCCTACCATCTCACGGCCGACGAAGACTGGTTTCGGATTCCATGCACTGCCCATCTGGCAGTCGCACAGCCTGACTCTGTGTGTGTGGAGGGCGAGCACCCAGGCCCCGCTCCACAACACAGCAGAAATCGTAGCCTGAGGCCTCAGGGCTTCGTGTGTCCTCTGTTGGGCCCCATCCATGCTCCATTCAACACCTCCCACGCAGAGTGGGTCACACTCAGCCAATCAGGGGACATACGATGTCTTCTCCTTTTTTTGGACCTCAAACCTTGCACCCCTGGAGATAATCCCTTGACTTGGAGGCAGCCTACACAGAGAATTTCTGGGACAGGTCGTTCTATAGTGGGCTTTTCCACCTCAGGAGGACACCATTCGAGCCACTTGCTCACAAGGAAGAGGTGATCCCCAGTGGGACACTGGCTGCACCCTTGCCCCGAAGCCCACGAGTCCCAGGGCCAGACTGCAGCACCATCAGCCACCAGCCAGAGTTAGTCTAGAGCCAATCTTGGGGAAACAGTGCCGCCCCCCACTTAACTCCAGGAGGCACCACTGGGATGGCCCACTGCTTAATAGAGTCGGTGCCATTCAGGGCCATGGGTTTGGTGTGATCCTTGAAAATTTGTCACCCGAACCCATGGACTGGATCCCATACACCTCTCCGAGGTCGGAGAGCCCCCTCATGTGGCCTGGCCATCCTAGAGACCTGACCTGAGCGGGGCGTTGCCCTGTGTGGAGCTAAGGAAACCCTTTACTGCCTGGACCACTGCCACCCCTGCAGGGCTTCAGGGAAGGTATCCTCAATGGGTCTCATTCCCAAGGAATCCTCTCTCCTGGAGAACCCATCCCAGTGGGGATTCAGGTCAGCTTCTGAGGAAACCCTTGTGGCTGAAGGGGGACCCTCAGCAAACCCACACAGCCTGGCTCATGGTGCATGACCCCAGCAGGGTCCACTCACCTGTGCTGGTTAATGCCAGGGGCTCTGCTGGGCCGAAGTGCTCACTGAAAGGCACAGGGGAGAATGGGGGCTGAGGAAGAAGCCGCCAAAGTGACCAACCCCCGGGTAATGGCAGCAATGACGTGGAGCCCTCACAGTAAGCCTGGGCTGCCTCATGGAGGTGTGCAGAGACAGGGCTGGGCACCCTCCAGATGCCCTTCAGAGCCTCCAGATCTCTAGCCCAAAATGCAATGGTACTGTTAGGGAACTCCTAATTCCCAGCATCTTCCTCCTAAATTCTCACCTAGGTTGGGCCTCAGCGTAATCCTATTGAGCATGATTTTTATGTCATCACCTCTCTTCAAGACAACATAAGGTTCTCATCATTGACCCAACCTAGAGCACCCCTCACCCCAAGCATGGATCCAGTGGGACCCAGCGTCGTCTTCCAAAATTCTCCCCTCAGCTGGGCCTCAGCGTAATCCTATTGAGCATGATTTTTTAAGTCATCACCTCTCTTCAGGACAATATAAGGTTCTCATCATTGACCCAACCCAGGGTGCCTCCTCCCCACACACGCATCCAGTGATACACAGATGTGCTCACCAAGCTCAATGCAGGAGACCAGGAGCCAGGAGAATCCAAGTTTCAGCTCACTGGGGGTTAGGCACCTGGCTGATGGCCACTGGCCTGGGGTCAGCGGGCTCAACACAAGTCTTCCTCTGGAGGGAGGAAGTCCATCATCTGCAGGGATGGGGGACAGGATTTTAAATAGAGTCTCACACCTCCATGCGGGAAAACGGGGAGGGGGTGCTGGCTCACACATGCTCTCCCTCCATGGACCCATGTGATGGGATCTATAAGAAATAATGACCTTCATGGACCCAGGGAACCCCTGGCACTCTCTGCCACTGAACCCTGGAAGGGAAGGGTAGGCGGGTCACTAGGCTTGGGCAAGAAGCCTGGGATGTGCCCTACTGCAGGCCCCTGAAGCACCTCCACTGCCCATCCTGGCTCCACTGCATGACCCTGGACCACAACAGAAACCCTGGGTAAGAGCTGAGGCCACCAACCAGCTAATGGCAAAACAAGAAGCCTGGCCCTGATGCCAGGTGCTGCTGCCAACCTGGCTGTCACACAGCCTTCCCCGGTACACCAGCCCAGGCTCCCTCTCCAAGCACATACCAGAAATCGCAGCCTGGGGCCCAGGGCCACCTGCTTTCTCTGGTGGGTTCTCATCCACACCCCAGATACCTGCCAAACACAGAGCTGGGCCACACTTGGCCAATCAGGAACCACATGGTACCCTCTCCTTTTCTTTGGCCCAAGACCTGGCCACCATGGAGGTGACCCCCATGGCTCAGAAGCTGCCTGGACAACAAATTGCCGGGTCAGGTCCCTCATGAAGGGGTCTTCCAATCTCAGGATGCCACCCTTCCCGTCATTGACCTCCAAGAAGGGATGAGCCCCAGCGGCAGACAGGCTGCACCCTTGCCCAAAGCCCATGAGTCCCAGGGCCGGCCTGTGCACCACGAAGCACCAGCCACGGCTCAGCCTTGACCCAACCAGTTGAAGCCACGCTGCCATCCACCAGGCGCAAGAAGGCACCACTGGGATGGTCCACTGCTCAACAGGGTCGGTCCCATTCAGGGCCAAGAGTGGCACGCAATCCTTGAATCTCCACAGCCCGACCCCATGGGGCTGATCGCCCAGCCCTCTCCAGGATGGATAGTCTCTGTGATTGTCATGGGACCCCCGAGCCCCTGCTGTCCTGATTATTTTTCCTGACCAGTCCTCAAGGACAGACATGCATACAGAGTCTCAGCTGGGAGCTACCCTGCGTGAGACTGATGAGACCCTTTCCAGCCTGGTCCACCATCACCCCTGCAGGGCTTCAGGGAAGGCGTTCTTTGTGGGCCAGATTCTCAAGGAAGCCACCCTCCTGGAAGACCAACCCACCTATCCATGGTGGGGATTCAGGTCAACTCTCTGAGGAAACCCTCCTGTCCTGACGTCTGATACTTGGTGAACCCATGCTGCCTGGCTCATGGCCCCTGACCCCAGCAGGATCCACTCACCTATGCAGGTCAATGCCAGGGGCTCTGCTGGGCAGAAGAGCTCTCTGAAAGGCATAGGGGAGAATGGGGGCTCAAGAAGGAGTTGCCAGAATGCCCCACCACTGGGTAATGGGAAAGAGGACACCAAGCCCACATAGTGAGCCTGGGCTGCCTCACAGAAGGGCACAGAGACAGGCTTGGGCACCCCGAGATGCCCTTCAGAGCCTACAGGTCTTTAGCCCAAAATACAGTGGCCCTGCCTGGGAACTCGTAATTCCCAGCATCCTCTTTCAAAATTCTCACCTAGGCTGGGCCTCAGCGTAATCCTATTGAGCATGATTTTTAAGTCATCACCTCTCTTCAGGACAATATAAGGTTCTCATCAT